TGCTTCTCTTCTGTCCCTTGCAGGACAGTCAGATGTCCATCTCAAACTGAGCATCGTCCCCTAGTTAATATGAAGAAAATGAAACATTCAGCACAAAAAGGAAGAGCAAAGCAGTTTTAACTGTCGTTCCCTCTACATGAGGGTCAAAAACATAATTCAAGCTGCCCCATTCTCTGCTGCCTTAAAACAATTAACTAGTGCATGCTATGACACGGATAAACCTTGAAAACATTATGTGGAATAAAATAATCCAGACAAATATTGTATGATTCCACAGATATGAAATATTTAGATTAGGCAATGCACAGAGACAAAAGTTTATGAGTGGTTACAGGGGCCGGGGAGGGGGAAATGGGGAGTTATTGCTTAAGTTTCTGTTTGGGTGAAGACTTTTGGAAATAGAGAGTGGTGACGACTGCCCAACAGAGTGAATGTAATTGTCACTGCCTTGTATACTTAAAAATGGCATTTTTTTGGTTATATATATTTTACCATAATTTAAAAAAAACAAAAAAACAAAAACTAACCAGCAGCTGCTGGGGAGCGCTTTGCCATCTATCATGTCAGCACACTCTTTGCAAAGCTTTGAACTTTGGCCCTGCTCTGAATCGTCAGTTTGTCCATTAAAAATTCATGGGGGATTTGAGGAAGCAGAATGCTAGCTCAGGTACAGAGCTCATTGAACGCAACCCCAGAGTTTTACTTCAGGAGCTAGCTGTTTCCACCTCACTACTCTGCTCCAGAGAGTTCAAGATGACTCGTCACTACAGTGTGTGTAAGGAATGCTTATTTAAATATTACAGGCAGTTCTGGAAATCACATTGCTTTTCCCCCACACCATAAAAAGGACATTATTCCTGTAAGAAACAGGGTCTATTTGCTGAAGGGGATGGAAACCGGGGCCAGGGGGCAGTGGGGCACAGCTATTAAATTCTGTTTTTTGTTCTGTTTTGCATGTGTGTGTTTTATCCTGGTCCAATAAAGTCTAGGCTAGGCAGCCCTCAAGGCCCCAGGGGTCATCTTTGGAGTTTCCTATTCCCTGATTCTGGATCCCCCTCCCCCCACCAAGCAGTTTATACTTAAGATTGAGAACTCAGGGTCTCCAGAGCATTTCAATAAACCTTGAGAGGGGCTGTAAAAAACCTTTGAGACATATAACTGAACATCAGTTGTAACTGAAGCATCAACATTTTTCCAGCCTACAGTAGACTGACATTCAATTTCCCAGGGCCACCCTCTTGATCCCCAACACCAGCATTCTCTTACCAACTGCATGCTTCCTGTCATGATTGTTCAAGTTGTTCAAATTGTTGACTTCTACTTTGGAGTCTTCGATTAAGGTGCTAGGGCTAGTGACTCCAGGAATATTGGGCAGATGGCAGGGCGGAGTCTGAGCCATGGGAGAATTGCGACGATCCAACAGAAACTTTCGATCATAAATGATTCGGGTTCCTAGAAAATAGGGTTGCAAAGAGTTTGCAAGAAATTAAGGTGCTATCAACATATAGTAATAACCAGGAATTTAGTTCAAATCCCATCTAATCCTAATCCTTAGGGATTTTATAATTCAAGTAAAGAGAACAGGCGAGCTCTAATCTCGAGGCCTCTGACCAGGCTTCTCTGACACCTGAAATGCCCTTTCCTCCTCCTCTTCCTGGTTAAACTTCTACTCATCCGTCAAGATGCAGTTCCAACATCACTTCCTTTATGAAGCCCGACCCCCCCTCTTCTAAACACTTTCCCCCCATTCTCACATCTTATTCAATACACATCACTATTACAGGCCTCCTCACACTATACTTGAAATGTCAGTTTATCTATCTGCCTGTATAGACTGTGTGTTCCTTATGCCAGATCTATGTCATTAACATTAAGCATATCTTCAGAAAGTTTTTAAATGAAGGAATAGATAAGTATGTGAAAAAACAGTCAACAGACGGATAGCCACCTTTAGGTTAAAGGTCTTCAAAGAAGCACTGAAATCGACATTCTTCCAACACAGAACTATGGTAGAAATTGGAACTCTCTCTAGTCTAAAAACAGTATCTGTTTATGTGTATGTGCTACCATGTTTCAGAAATAACAATAGTTCTGATTCCTGATAACTGCTGTTTATCCCTTCTGTCATGGTCTTCCCAGGGTACTAATGGCTATAACAAGACATACAACTAAGTGACAGTTTAGAGATGTGACGTTAGCCTATAAGTCGGAATTGACTTGACGGCAGCGGATTTGATTTTTGGATGTTAGCCAAACGTAGTGGAAACCTGGAGCTCTGCTGATGATTCTAACACTATAGCTGGCTCAGTAAGAAAGAATGGGGTGATCACTTAGTGATGGCTGCTAAAGGGGGCAAGGACTGGAGGGGGCTGGTAGCCCAGCTTATTTGCCCTCCTGCCTGAGTAAATAAAGCCAGGGAGTCATGTGGAGGTGTCTTGCTCACAACAGGCTTGAATCCAGAGAAGAAAAACTTGTCTTAAGGGTTTAGGTATCCAAGTGAAAGGAAATATTCTATGTAAAACTGTGTACAAAACTACCCAGTTTAAACAGGTAGTCTCTAAATAGTACATGCTCATAAAATACTTTATATTCTCAAGTGAAAAACAAAAATACTCCTGTCATGTTATAATAAGGACAGTCTGGCTCAGACTTACTTCCTCAAACAACGTGATGCCTATATCCCGGGAAACAGAAGAATACAACAGCTGACAAAGCTATTTGAAACGGGGGAAAAAAGCAAGGCAAGAGGAATGGACACTGCAGTCTTCCCAAAGAAGGGAGGAGACTTCCACGTCGTCTAAAGAAATAATGCCAACATTAAGCTAAATAGCTGGGAAATGCATTAAAAACCCAATGATTTTCTTAGGATTAACATCCGTTTCTGCACAAACGCTGGAGCCCTGGTGGTGCAATGCGGTTTAAGAGCTCAACTGCTAATCAAAAACGTCTGCAGTTCAAATCTACCAGTCGCTCCTTGGAAACCCTATGGGGTGGCTCTACTCTGTCCTGTAGGGTCGCTGTGAGTCAGAATCAACTCGACGCAACAAGTTTGGGTTTTCTGGTTTTTGCACAAATGCTAGTAAATAACTTCCTTTGGACTGGATGGAAAACAGTCAAACTAGCCCTTCCTAGTTTTGAGAAAATGGTCAAATAGAGACTCTATCCCTCCCCACACACATATACACATCCTTGCATTAACAACTACAATTAAGTAGTAAACATATTCTCCTCTAGTTAATACTTCAAAGTCACTCAGTAACAGGAAAGAATGACTTCAGTTTCTCAGAATGGAAATGGACCCAGGATGTTCTCAAATGGGCATCTATCAGCACATGAAGGCATTTCAAAACAAAACCTTTAAGGCTTTCAAACCAACTCCAAATATATTGAGTTTCTTTTTTACTATCTATTTCTGTTGCAACTACACTGCACACACAATCATATTTATAGTTTTTAAGAAGTCAAAATAAAGTATCTGGCTCTCTCAGTCTCTCTGTAATAAACTAAGAAAAATAGTGTGTCATTATTGGAACCCAATAGGACAGTATTTTTTGGGTTGTATATTTACTGAAATCTGCATCAAAATCATCTTAAATGTTTGTTTAAAAAAAGATTCCAACTGAATTGTGTATCTCTAGAGGTAGAGACTGGAAATTCCTCCCCCCCCCCAAGTTCTCCAGGTGATTCTTATGTTCATTAAAATTTGAAAACTGCTGTACTAGGAGAAAGGACCCAACTTCATTCTTCTTCCAAAATTCTAGTTACAGTGGTTTGAGAAAAGATGCAATATGAAAGAATTAGTAACAGAAAGACAGAAGGGGCTACGGCGATCATCTAATACAGTTTCTCATTTTGACAGATGATGTTGAGACCCAGGAAAGTGACTAAATCAAGGTCACAAAGCTAACTAGAGGCAGAATCGGAACTAAAAGTGTGGTCTCTTTTCTCCTAACACAGTACTCTTTCTACTCTATCACACAGTCTCTATGATCTCCAAGAGCGGGAATAAATTGTCTAAAGTGAAAGCAGTGGAAAGGTAACTGCTTTACATATAAAATAGCAAGGAAAAGAGCTATTTATGTGACAGGGACCACCAAGCATTTGTCCTAAAGCACTCCTTCTCCACTGAGGAGTTAGTGCCCCCTAGGGAGTATTACAGAAATTTGTGGAGGTGGTTTTTGTTTTGTTTTGGTCTTCTAGTTTGGCAAGGCCCGAGTACTTACATATTTTATAAGTTATCTAATCCTTATATTTCTTTTTATATGACAGAGAAACACAGTTTTAAAAATTATGTGAACTGCCAACTTGACCAGGGCAAAGTCATAGAAGCTTCACAGATACATCCAAATGCCCTGAGAGACAGAGCTACTGGGCTGAGGGCTGGGGACCTTGGTCTTAGGGAACACCTAGCTCAATTGGCATAACATAGTTTATAAAGAAAATGTTCTACGTCCGTCTATGGTGAGCAGCAACTGGAGTCTTAAAAGCCTGAGAGCAGCCATCTAAGATACATCTACTGGTCCCATCCCGACTGGAGCAAAAGAGAATGAAGACGACCAAAGGCACAAGGGAAAGATTAGTCCAAAGGACTAATGGACCACAACTATCACAACCTCTGCCAGACTGAGTCCAGAACAACTAGATGGTGCCCAGTTACTACCATCAATTGCTCTGGCAGGGATCACAATAGAGGTCTCAGGCACAGCGGGAGAAAAATGTAGAACAAAATTCAAATTCATGCACAAAAAAAGACCAGGCTTGCTGATCTGACAAAGACTAGAGAAGCTCCATGAGTATGGCCCCAGAACACCCTTTTAACTCAGTAATGAAGTCATTCCTGAGAGTCACCCTTCAGCCAAAGATCAGACAGGTCTACAGGACCAACAATAACACACATGAGGGACGTGCTTCACAGTTCAATCATGAATACGAGACTAATGGGCACACCAGCAGAAAAGCAAAGACAAGAAGGCAGGAAGGTAAAGAAAAATTGGACGAATGCAAACAGGTAGCCTGGAGTGGAGAAGGGGAGAGTGTTGACACATCATGGGGTTGGCAACCAATGTCACAAAACAATTTGTGTAACTATTTAATGAGAAACTAATTTGCTCAGTAAACTTTCACCTAAATCACAATAAAAGATAAAATAAAAAATTACATGAATTGGTAGGTTACACAATCTAAAAAATTTATTTCAGAATAGTACATAGGACATTACAAAATACTGGTAATAAAAGAGGATGGTAATCTCTAAAGGATAGCATGGCAGAAACCATTTGTGACTGGACTTGACACTATGATCTTAACCTTAACAGAAAGCTTTGCATGCCTCCCTCCAACCCACAGTCCTTGAAGACCAGCTGGAAAAGCTGGAATAGAATTGAGAACCCAGAAGTAAATTCATCCATCTGCAGGCAGCTGATCTTGACAAAGGGTCAAAGTCCATTCAATGGGGAAGGAACAGTTTCTTTAACAAACAGTGCTGGCAAAACTGAATATCCATATGCAGAAAAATGAATCAGGATCCATACCTCACACCATACACAAAAACTAACTCAAAATGGATCAAATGCCTAAATGTTAAAGCTAAAACTATAGTTTCTGGAAGGTAACACAGGGTCAAAATAGGGGACCTAACTTTAGGCATAAATAGTCTATAAAACTAAAAATGCACAAACAAAAAAGGATAAACTAGATAACTGGGATCTCCTAAAAATTAAATACTAATGCTCATCAAAAGACTTTACCAAGAGAGTAAAAAGAGAACCCACAGACTGGGAAAAAATCTTTGGCAACAACGTATCTAATAATGGTCTATTTGCTAAAATACATAGAAAACTTCAACAACTCAACAAAAAGACAAAGAAATCAATCAAAAAACGGCAAAGGACATGAACAGGTACTTCACCAAAGAGGACATTCAGGTGGCCAACAAATACATGAAAAGATGCTCAGGATCATTAGCCATTTAAAACAAAACAAAACAAAACAAAACCAAACAGTTGAGTTGGTTCCGACTAATAGTGACCCTACAGGGCAGAGTAGAATGTAAAACTGCCCCATAGAGTTTCCAAGGAGCGGCTGGTGGAATAGAACTGCCAATCTTTTGGTTAGTAGCCATGCTCTTAGCCACTGTGCCACCAGGACTCCCATTAGCCATAAGAAAGATGCAATCAAAACAATGAGATACCACTTCATCCCTGCAAAAATGAAAACGATTAAAAAAAAACAAATGCTGGTGAGACTGTGGGGGGACTAGAACTCTTATACATTGCTGGTGACATTGTAAAATGGTACAACCACTATGGAAAACAGTATGGTGCTTCCTCAAAAAGCTAGAGATAGAAATACCATATGATCCAGCAATCTTACTACTAGGATATATCCTAGAGATTCAAGAGCAGTGACACAAATAGACGTATGCATACCTATGTTCACTGCAGTATTATTCA